CACAGGTGACCATTGTTCAAGATTGATCCAGGCCAATGATGTCCTCCAAAACACTACCAAGACGGGTAGCTAAAACTTTGGACAAAATCTTATAATCTATGTTCAGGAGAGAGATAGGTCGCCAATTCTTGACGCTCTCGGGATGTTCTAAATTTTTGCAAATAAGAGTAATGTAAGACAGGCTTTGAGACGGAGATAATGAATTGGATTTAAAAATTAGTTTGTAAAGATGAAAAAGAACATCACCGAGAACGTCAAAATTGGCGAGATAAAACTCTTTGGTCAATCCGTCTGGACCAGGAGACTTGTCACTTTTCATTGCAGAAAGGGCAGAAAGAATTTCACTCTTGGAGATCTCCCCCTCTAGTGAATCCCTAACAGAGTCACCAAGGGAGGGCAGATCTTCCAAGAAGTGAGCCGCATCAGAAAAATAAATGCTATCTTTTTTAAACAGGGAAGAGTAAAATGAAACAAAAGACTGCATGATCGTGCTGTTAGTGGTGCACTGGTGATCACTATCTTCAGTACGGGTAATAGTCTTCCTGGCAGCACGATCATGCTCCTTTCTCAAAAAATATCTGGAGGGGTTTTCCAGCGCTTCCATCGAGTCAGATTTCGACCGAACACGAGCACCGTCAATCTCCGCGTCCTCCAAACAACGAATCTGTTGTTTAACCTCGGACAGACGCGAAGAGAGACTCCCTGGAGCAGCAAGCTTGTGCTCGGCTAAAGATCTGTACTCGACCCTAAGGACAGCTAGCTCTTTTTAAAAAGTTAAAAAATTTAAAAAGATCCCAATTGGCTAGAGAAAGATCTTCCCCAACAAGATAAGAAAAAGTATTGTAAAAGGATTTAAAATCACTAATGAAATTGAAACTGGTAACACTGGAGTTGTTACACTTCCAGTATCCCTTTCCAATTGAAATGCTAGAATTTAAAAGTAAGGAAAAGGAAATACAATGGTGATCTGAAAATATTAACGGCTGAGACTGAAAGTTGCTAGTAGCAGTTAACGAATTAGTCCTAGCATAAAACCTATCCAACCTACAGGAAACAGACGAGCTGCTCCACGTGTGAAGGATTTTATTCGGGTGATGAAACCGGAAAACATCTTTAAAATTAAAATTCAACTTTAAATTATTGAAAATAGAACAACTTGAAGAAAGTTTATCAGTATTACCACCAGTTTTGTCTAAAATGTTGTTTTCAACGAAATTAAAATCATCCTCATCGGAGAACTCCCTCTCTGACACCACACCCTCCCCATTGGACGAACCACCGGGAGTTAAACTGCCGAGCACTGAGTTTAGTCTCTCAGTGTCAGCAGCCATGTCTTCTAACTCCATATCTACTTGAGGCAATTCTACTGAGGTCATCTCACCAGAAACATCACTAACATTCTTGGTTTTCTTTTCAGGTTTCGAAGAGGAGGAATGAGACAGTTTAGAAGAGGAAGAGGATGCAGGTGGAGTATTAGCTCCAGCTGCAGCCGACTGGAGCATTGGGAATGGTAAGTATTGCCAGATACTTTCTTCCCCTTTGTAGGCTTTTGTAGTGCTACCTTTTTACTACGGTTATCTGGGGCAGACACGTTATTACTGTCATCGACAAGTAAGGTATGACATTCCGATGAAGTACGTTTTTTCGCATTGTGTCTTGGCGTAAAAAAACCATCCTCGTCGACCCTCTTCTCGTATAGTTTCACAGTAGTAGGAGGGGGTGGAGGAGGAGGGATGGACTTTACCAAACTGGATGCAGGTACAAAATTCCTAGAAGGCGGAGCCTTACTTAAAGCACTAGCATACGAGGAAACTGAAGCTACACTAGAAGTCTTAGAAAAAGGTCATTCCTTTCGCATATGCCGCGGTTGAAAGCATTTGAGGCATATTGGGGCCCTACCCTGCAATATTATCAGGACATCCTTCCCACCGACTGAGGAGGTGTGGGGGAGCGAATCAAACCCGCCAGGTTTCCCCTCAAGCAACACTCTTCTAGTTAGGGTTCGGATATGTTTCAACCCCTCGTTTGAAAAAAACTCCCTTGACACACTAACGACCTTTAAATTAAAGGCTTTAAAAAAGTTTGTTATATCATGGTCTGAAATGTATTTGGGTAACCAGAAAAGACGGGCGATAAGTTTTGATTTATCACCACCAGCTAAAGAATAAGAATTCGTCCCAATCTCAGCTACAGGGTGTTTTTCTAATATAGACGAAACAGTTTCCTCAGATTCAAAGGTCACATGAAACGACCTGGCAGATCTACCCGAGCCCATAGAAACAATAGACTTCGGGTCGATACCGTTCTGCCTCAAGAAAGTCACAAAATCATGACCGTAAACAAACTGGTTCCCAGAGGACTGGTTGAAAACCAGAGTTCGTTTCTGTATGCCCTTTTTCTCCATAAGGGATACAGGAAACAAAAAAACCCCTAACCTAAGCCTTAACGACCCCTAGGTGGGCTTAGCGGGCCGTCGGAGCACAAGTGCCCGACAATAACCACCGGAACAGGAATGCAGAAGGGAGCGAACCAAAACGTACAAGAAAGGACCATCCGCTAGAGCTCGCTACCCGCAGCTTGAACGCGTTCTAACTAATCCACTTAATCAAGTTAAGTGAGTGTACTAGTCATTCAAGCCGATGGGGTACGTATCAGATATTAATCTGATAAGAACAGATACTAACCTTTGATCTTAGCCATAAGGCCGAGAAGCGATGGGACCTCATATAAATTTGTACCTTTCTGCGATGGTCTCGACACAGTCGGTCTTTAAAAAAAAAAGAAACTAGAGCCACACGTGGCACAAAGTGGGACTTTGCAAATGTAGCAAAATGCAAAAGACTCTGAAAAAATCAACCTTCTACGATAATTACATCACGCGCAAGAGCAGTCTAAAGTTGAGAAGAATTGTTTGGAAGGTTGTTATAACGGAAGTAGACAGACCTCAAAAATGGAAGTATCAGAAGATAGCCAAGGTCAATGACATTTGACATTGAAAGGGAGACTGTCAACAAAGGTCAAGGTTACGAGATACCAGTCATCAAAATTATATACGGCTATAAAACCGGAAGTTGAGATAGAACAGCAAATATAAAATTATAAATAGATAGCCAATGTGAATGACCTTTGATCCTACAAAAACAGGGTCAAAAAAGGTCAAGGTCAAAAATTGACAATTTTGAATTTTCAATACCTGTTCCTTTTTTTGAACTATAAAGCTGAAACAATCGAACTTCTAAGACAACGTGGCTCAACGGATGAAGTAATTGTATGCAAAGTTCCATTTTGAACAAATGTATACGTTGCGAGTTATGTCCCTTGCCAAAATTGTCAATAATGAGTAATTTAACCCGGATGTGCTACGCCCACCTCAATTTCTTTTGCATAGGTTAATTGATATTCTGAATGTTATGTTGTGTTCTAAATTTAAAGCTTCTACATCATACAGGTCAAAAGATATAGGTCAACAAGAGTCAATAAAGGTCAAAGTAGAAAATTGAAAATATGGAAATTTCAAAACCCGTTCCTTTTTTTGAACTATAAAGCTGAAACAATTGACCTGTTAACACAAACTGGCCAAAATAATGAGGTAATTGTGTGCAAAGTTCCTTTTTGAACAAATGTATCCTATGCGAGTTATGCCCCTTTCCCAAAATGTAAACAATTAGTAATTCAACCCGGATGTGCCACGCCCACCTCAACTTTTTTGTCATAGGTTAATTCATATTCAAATTGTCTTGTTGTGTTCCAAGTTTCAATGTTCTACATAAAATAGGTCATAAGATATATACACACCAAGCTCAAAGAAACAGAAATATTGTAAAAAAAACTCAAATTTGAAAAATTCACGAATTTCAATTTTGCTTTAAAAAACGATTGTTATAAATCACTTGAAAGAGCATGAAAAGCACATTAAGAATCCGAAAAAATTAACCCTCTAGGTTAATTAGGTCACGTGCTAGAGCAGTCCAAAGTTGCGAATTTGGCTGTTTTCGGACAGCTATATAACCGGAAGTACATGTCGGAGGTCAAATGTCGAGGTATTAACTCATTGCTAAGGTCAATGACCTTTGACCTTATGAAGGTCAAGGTCATCAAAGTTCAAGATCACGAGATATGACCCTTCAAACTTTGAAAAAATTCAACCGGATGTTGCAAAAAAGCAAAATTGAGAATCGAAAAACGGCTTCCTAATGTCATGTTTTTTTTTTTTTATCTTCTTTCATTTGACACCAAAATCATTTAAATCGGATGAGCCATTATGTCTGAATAAAAATCGAATCATTTTTTCTTTTTTTTTTAAAGACCGACTGTGTCGAGACCATCGCGTAAAAGGTACAAATTTATATGAGGTCCCAAACTGACTCAGAGCGGGCATCGCTTCTCGGCCTTTTGGCTAAGATCAAAGTGTAGCTATTTCTTTACGCTTGGGTTTTAGACAAAAATATTGAGTTCAAGTATCCGGCATATGCGCAGAGAGAACGGCTCTTTATCACGCCACAAGAGGGAATCGAGTCCTAGACTGTTTTTTTTTCGTTAATTTGTCTCCCCTTTTTCCGTGCCAACGGTTTGGATCGGGTGTCTTCGGACGCTCCGACGGTCCGCTAGCCCGTCTAGGCTCCCCACTTTTTCCCTTTTTTCGTTTGTTTCTCTGCCATGGATAGGCTAAAGGTACAACGTAGAACTTTGGTTTTTTCTCAGTTGTCTGGGAATGCTTTCGTTTATGGGCATGATTTTGTCTCCTTTTTAAAGGATAATGGTGTTGATCCCACGAGAATTGTCTCTATGGGTTCCGGTAGGTCTGCTCGGACATTCCATGTCACTTTTGACAACGAGCTGCCTGTTTCTTCTCTTTTAGAGAAGACCGAAACTGCAGAGATTGGTCGCAACATGTATTCTCTTTGTGGTTGTGACAGATCTAAGCTTATCTGCAGACTTTTCTTGCTTCCCGAATACGTTTCTGAAACAGAAATAATTAATTTCTTAAGATCCTTTAACTTAAAAGTTAGTGATATCATGAGAGAATATTATTCACATGACGGATTGAAACACATTCAAACCTTAACAAGGAAAGTGTGAGGGGAAACCCAGTTCTTTTAATCAACTGCCCCATACTTCCTCCATACTGGGGAAAGATGTACTGTTAATTCTACAGGGACGAGCTCCTATATGTCTGAAATGTTATTTGCCCGGTCACCTGAGGGAAGAGTGCCCTATGTCGAAACAGGCTAACACATATGCAAATATTGTGAACAAACAACCAGTTAAGACCAGCTTTGTACCAGCCTCAAATTTACTTGATAAGAATAACGTTCCCGCACCTCCTCCACCTCCAACTACTACTCATGTAAATTTATATAACAATAATAATAATAGGTTAGATATAGATGGTTTTTACACTCCTAAACCGAAATCTAAAAAAAGAACCTCTGAATCTGTTAATACTGTTCCCAATGTCTCTCAAAGCGAGAACAATAATGATTCCGAAGAGATGCCTTTTGAAAACTTGCCCCAAGGTGGTATGGAGGTAGAAGATATAATTGCCGACACTGAGAGGCTCAAATCGGTGCTCGGCAGTTTAACTCCCGGTCGGTCTTCCGATGGGGAGGGTATGATGTCGGGAAGGGAGTCCTCTGATGAGGATCCCATGACCTGATTTTAATCTTTATATTTTATTTCAAATATTTTTATAATTTTAAATTATACTTACCCTGTACTTACCTGGTTGTTCCCTCATATTTCATATACTTACCTTACTTATCTTATAAATATATAAATACTTTCCTTACATCATGGCTTTTAACATCGCATCTATAAACTGTAACGGTCTTCTAGGACCCAATAAGATAAATTATTTACATAATCTTTTACTCTTAGAGCAAGTCCTGCAACATAAATGTTTCTGGTCTTTTGGTTCCAATAGGAGTTCTGGAACAGCTATTTTGTTAAAACCTTCTATAGGATTCTGTATTGATCATTTTTATTTTGACCTTGATGGGCGTTTGGTTGTTCTAGACGCAACTGTAAATAATTGTGCGATACGTTTTATAAATGTTTACTGTTCGAATATACCGTCGGAGAGGAATGTTTTTATCCGTAGTCTCGAACATTTTTTTGTTACTTCGAGACTTTTGGTACTTGGAGGGGATTTTAATTTTGTTCTAGATAATGATTTAGACAAGGAAGGTGGAAACAAAGACCGAATTTCGTCAACTTCAGCTATTTTTCGTAATATATTAACTGATTTTGATTTAAAGGATGTATTCAAATTTCAGTATCCAAATAAATCACTCCCAACATGGAGTAGTTTGTCAGTCTCTTATAGGCTTGACAGATTTTATGTAAGATCTAGTACACTTTTAAACACACATCATTTTCAAACTCATCCTTTAATTTTCAGTGATCACTTTGGAATTTCGTTTAATATCAATCTCAACCAGAACATTTCTATTGGTAAGGGTTATTGGAAATGTAATAACTCAGGAGTTACCTCCTCAGGTTTTATTCAAGAGTTTCGCTCCTTTTCTAATGCCTTTTCACATTTAATATCTGATGTTGGTCTCTCCTTGTCAAACTGGGACCTTTTTAAATTTTATATTTCTATATTTTGTAAGGAATTCCAATTAAGGGAAAGAAGTAAGAAACAAAAGGA